TAAATATACATATATAATCTTTAAATAAACTTCAATATTTTAATCCACTGGTACTATACGTCAAAATATTGTTTTATAAGAAAGAACCAAACAATTTTGTTTAGAATAAATACAGTTATTTATATCCTATCTGTTGGTTCTATCAAGCTACCTTCAGAAAGAAATCTATATCTTATAATATAATCAAGATGGATTGATGATGATGATAATAACCATAAGCACAGGGCCCAAATGTTTAGGAGTTGAAAGTTGAAATTTGGTACACAGTTAGGGTATGTCATGAGAATGTACACTAAGAAGAGATTTTTCAAAATTCCCCCTGTGTGGGGAGGGAGAGGGTTAAAAGTGTGAAAGCTAGCTTTAAGTTTGGGCAGTTATTTGAAGATTTGAAGTTGATTATACAAATATCCTTTTGATGTCATACCAGTAATAGAATCTGCTGAATCTTACATATTGGCAAACTTCAGTTGGGGGTTGATGATGCCTTGTGATTGGAAAAAAAACTAGTTGAAAAATATAATATTGATCAAAATACTGATATTAATAGTGACATTGTAGATTCAGATGCTAAAAACTAAGTTGTTTAAAAATAAATTGGTCTTACGTTGAAGGTAGTTATATTTAATTCTTGTTAGATTTGACATTTATTTGTTTTAAAAACTAGTATTTAGATTTGTGTTATTTAAACAAAGAACTTAATTAAAAGCACTTGATTAATATTTGTTTCAAAATTTGTGCATAAAAGTAATCCAACATAGGTGAAAGAAGACCATATGTAAAAAAGACCATGTTTGTTCAGAATTATAGGTTCTCTAACTTCAAGCATCTTGTGTTAATCTGTTTTTCTGATTGCTAATGTAGTGTAAAATTAATGAGTTTGCTGAAGAATATTACCTTTATTTTTTTACATGAATATATTATGGTTCCTAGTTTTCTTAAATGTAATAGGCTATTTATGGAGTAGGAAGTTTTTGCTTTCAGATTTTTAAATTTCTATGATGGTTTTAATTGAAATTAACATTTTTGACAAAGATGTTGATCTCTATTTAACTAAATAGCCTCAAAATAATGTAACCAAAAAGTTACAGCTAATAGAAGAAGATTGAAGTGAGTTTCTGACATTGTAAAGGCATATTTTCTTAGCTATTCAGAAACTAATGCCAAATGAATTGCCTGGATTATTCATTGGGCTGTAACAAGGCTAATTTAATGATTAAGATATAAAATAATTTGGCTGTAAGTAGTGGTTAGACTGCCATCCAATGATAAAAATAAATTTAATTATTAATTAGAGCATTCTGAAAGAAAAATCAGCCCAGAGCAGGACTCAATCCCACAATTCCTGTTTGTCATGCAGATTTATTGCTAGTTACACTATCCAGATCCTTGCTCAAACTTTGCTTCCAAAGCTGTTAATTAATTAACTAATTCAGATATAACATATGGTCTCTCACAGCTGTTGGCAGTTCATTTGGCATTAGTAATTGAATTGGATTGATGTGTATGTTGTTGCAATTAAGAAAGAAAAACATAGGATTGCAGTCTTTAGCTATCCTATCCAAACAAACTATCACTGAACTAACTCAGTAATGCAATTATTTTCTATTTATATTTTTGGAAAATATTAGTTTCATCTTCAGATCAAAACAAAAGCAAAAGATAGAATTACGGAGCATTAAGAACACATAAAGCTAGAATTAATGTTACTCTAGTATAGTGATTTTCAACTAGTGTGCCACAAAAATTTTTCAAGGTTATTAAATAAATTATTTTTGAAAGAACAAGTGTACAGTACTGTTCAGTACATATTATAATCAATTTATAGAGGTTTTAATTTTGAGTTTTTCATTGTTATAATAAATAAATGTATACATAATGTAGTAAAAACTATATATTCATAAGCAAAATAATAACATCAGGTTATTTCATTTAAAATGAAATTTTTTTAAAAATCAAAAATATCTATAATTGTTTATATGTAGTTTGAATCATTTTAATTTAGAAATAGTGGGACCTTGATCAGGTTTCTAAAGGCAATTATTTTTGCCACTTTTTAATGCAAATTAAGACTTAATGTTAATTTTCATTTACATAAGAAAAGCAATTATTAGTTTAAATAACTATTGTTGTAACCTGCTGCTATTTTAAGAAACAACAATACTGTTTTATTTAATTCACAAAAAATAGACAAAAAGAATTAGGTTAAGTGGCAAGTAATATGGTGATAGAATGTTTACAAACACAACGTTAAATCATGTGATTTTTTTTCCACAGAAATTTAATTATAGGTTCAAGTCTGTTGTGAGATAGAAAAGGTTGAAAAACACTACTCTAGTAGAAGAGGCACTAAATAGGAAGAGCCAAGTCAAATGATACTTGTTTAATGGTATTGGTCTCAAATGGCATTTCATTTGAGATTAAGATAAGAGTTTGCCATTACAACAGCCAAATGATCTGATAATTGATAAAAAGGAAGGTTTGTGTCTAAACCCTATGAAATAGCTCATTGAAAATTATATAAAATAAAATTTGAGATTTTACATATTCAGCATTTTAATATATACTCATTGCCAAAAAATTAGTGCACAAAGGAGTTATATTGCTGCAAAACTTGGCATGTGGATAAGTCTCAAGCAGATATGGAAATGATTAGAGTTATAATATGATGGCTCATTGCATAATGCCAGCAGAGGGCATTAAAGTGCATTCCTCTTGGGCTGTAAAAAAGTGTTCAAAGACATCCTGCTTGTAATTTACCTGTTGCGCAGGGATACTCTATCTTTAGGTATGCCTTTGTCACAATTGAAGACCACATGAACAACTAACCAAGTTTGAGAGGGGAAAGATTATCAGGTTGAAAGAAGCTGGATGGTCATCTTGCCAAATAGTTTACTATATAGACCATTCTGATACCACTGTGAGGTGGTGTTGGGACTGGTGGATAAGAGAGTGCTTGCACACATGGTGCTCAGGAACAGACTTGCTCTTGGCAGACCACTAGCCTGAGAAGACTGCTGGTCCTCCAATAAGCATGTACACAGCAAACCATATTGTTGTCTGCCATCCAGACACAGATGGTACCATCATTACAGGCCCCTGTGTCTATCTGTACATTTTGAGGCACCTGGGTGTGGAACATTTGGTATTGCGATGGCCATTATATGTGCTGCCATTGACAGTCACTATTGTTTCCTCCATTTGGAGTGGTGTCACTCCCAATGGGATTGAGCCACAAAAGAATGGAATCAGGTCATCTACAGTGATGAATCCAGATTCACTTCGAGCACTGACAATGACCCCGTTCACATCTAGAGGCTCTATTGTTAATGCCTCAATTCTGCCTACACTTTGGAGCAGCACATCATTCCCACAACTGATGTGATGATTTGGGGTGTCATCACATAGGACTGCCAGTCACCTCTAGTAGTGATCCAAGGGACCATGACAGCCCAGCAGTATATTAGTGACATCCTGCAACCACGTGTTCCTTCTTGTGGCAGGACATCCAAGAGACATTTCCAACAGAACAATGCTTGACCACACACAACAAGGATGTAATAGGACTGCTTCCACCACATTGCCACACTTCCCTAGCCTGCCTGGTCTCCTGATTTGTTGATTGAACATGTATGGGATCACCTGGATATCAAATTGGACACTCTAGGAGTTTGACTGAACTAGAGGACTGCTTGCAGCAACTGTGGACTGAGATACTGCAGGACACCTTAAGGCATCTGTATGCCTCATTCCTATTCATACCACATTATGTATTCATGCTAGAGGCGGCCCAACAGGGTACTAGAATTAGGGAAACAGGATCTTAGTTGTTTTTTTAATCCAGGAAATTCTGCAAATTTCTTAAAAGTTCACTTTTTTCTTATTTTGTGTTAAGGTTGAGGAAATTTTGCAAATATAAAGTATGATTAAATCATAAACTTCAAAATACATTTAATTTTAAACCTACTTATTAGTTTTTTTAATTTTTGCTTGTTATGGCATGTCACAAATGTTTTCATAGTTAATCTGATTCAGTGTCTTCCAGTTTGGTTGTTACATTGTCATTCATGTGTACTTTGATGTCACTATAGGAATCAAGATCTTGACTACCACCTGGTTCAAACTCATCATCATTTTCCAATTCAAATTTCCCTGATTACCCTTCAGCCAATAAGCTCTTGGTTTATAATCTCAATCCCAACTTTCTGATGCTCAATATTTGATAGTGTTTGTAATTTTATTTCAAAAAATGTTTCCATGAATGTTGGAATAGAAAGTGCTGCCAACTTTAGACAATTGAAGAAATAGAATATTTGTTATATTCCATATCTGTCACTCTAAACTACATTAACCCTAAACAGTGCAGTACTTCAACATGTTTCTCATGCATTTCAACCCAGGATTTATTTTTAACAGGGTGTTTATTTAAAGAACAGAGTTTAATCAAGGAAATATGGTATAAATAAATATGTACTGTACATTTCATAGTTGATACTAATATACAGTATAAAACTACAGAATAAAAAAAGTATAAAGTTATATGCTAATAATAAAATAGCATATATTTTTAATTATTTATATTTTGCTAAAAATAATATTTCATTACAAAATATATAAAACTTATCCCAATTTTTTTAGGCCATTCTGTAAGATTGAATCAGTCTCTTTGACTATTACTTCTAAGAACATGGTCATCTAGTGCAGCTTTTCATTTTTCTTTTGTACATCCCATTAATGTTTTGTATTTCTTCATGTTACTGATATAGTATTTTTTTCTCTCCATTTTTGTCATTTCTCATTATGATGATATAAATGCTGGCAATTTTAAGAGGTTAGGGTATATCTTTAAAATTGGGTAGCAAGTGATCGTGGTTTATTATTTATTTGTTATTACGCAGTTTAAACTATATTATGATATACAAAATGACTTTTCTTTTATTTTGATATACAAAATGACTTTTATTATGACATTCAGGTAATAAATTTCTTTTTTTTTTAATTATAGATTATAAGCAACAATAAAGATGTTATATATAAATTTGTTAGACTGCCATCATTCATTTTTTTATCTACAAAGACCTAAGAAGATTTTATATAAAAATGTTAATTAGCACAAACTTTTAGACAATCATGGAATGGAAAGTAAGTAGTTTTTTATTAAATATTTATAAAAATTTAAATGACTTTTTTTGTATTCTTTATATTCAGTTCATTATTTTAATTTATAATAATAAGTGATAAAATTGATTCAAATTATAAATGAGTTTAAAATTACAGAAAAATAATTATATATTGTAGATTTTTGAATAAAAAATTATGGTGTAATATAGAATGAATTTTAAAAGAAAAATAAATAACACTTGAAAAGACATTTTATTAAAGGTTTTTAAGAATATTGCTCAAACAAATTTCTTATTTTTTAGTATACAGCTCAAAATTTCCTTAATAAAAATGAATTGTTTTTGTCTTATTAAGAAGACTGGTTAAAAACAATGAATATATAATTTATTGCCTTATATAATTTTGAAACTTGAATACTAATATACAGTATAAAACTACAGAATAAAAAAAGTATAAAGTTATATGCTAATAATAAAATAGTGTATATTTTTAATTATTTATATTTTGCTAAAAATAATATTTCATTACAAAATATATAAAACTTATCCCAATTTTTTTAGGCCATTCTGTAAGATTGAATCAGTCTCTTTGACTATTACTTCTAAGAACATGGTCATCTAGTGCAGCTTTTCATTTTTCTTTTGTACATCCCATTAATGTTTTGTATTTCTTCATGTTACTGATATAGTATTTTTTTCTCTCCATTTTTGTCATTTCTCATTATGATTATATAAATGCTGGCAATTTTAAGAGGTTAGGATATATCTTTAAAATTGAGTAGCAAGTGATCGTGGTTTATTATTTATTTGTTATTACGCAGTTTAAACTATATTATGATATACAAAATGACTTTTCTTTTATTTTGATATACAAAATGACTTTTATTATGACATTCAGGTAATAAATTTCTTTTTTTTTTAATTATAGATTATAAGCAACAATGAAGATGTTATATATAAATTTGTGAGACTGCCATCATTCATTTTTTTATCTACAAAGACCTAAGAAGATTTTATATAAAAATGTTAATTAGCACAAACTTTTAGACAATCATGGAATGGAAAGTAAGTAGTTTTTTATTAAATATTTATAAAAATTTAAATGACTTTTTTTGTATTCTTTATATTCACTTCATTATTTTAATTTATAATAATAAGTGATAAAATTGATTCAAATTATAAATGAGTTTAAAATTACAGAAAAATAATTATATATTGTAGTTTTTTGAATAAAAAATTATGGTGTAATATAGAATGAATTTTAAAAGAAAAATAAATAACACTTGAAAAGACATTTTATTAAAGGTTTTTAAGAATATTGCTCAAACAAATTTCTTATTTTTTAGTATACAGCTCAAAATTTCCTTAATAAAAATGAATTGTTTTTGTCTTATTAAGAAGACTGGTTAAAAACAATGAATATATAATTTATTGCCTTATATAATTTTGAAACTTGATATATTTTCGAAAGTAATATATTGTATTATTTTCATATGTAATTGAAATAATAAAAGTCCTATGATTTGTTACACATCTTTTTGCAAAAAGATGTATATAGGAGGTGTTGTGTACACAATAAACAAGTAGATAAATAAATTCAAAAAATAATTGAATGTGAAGATTATAAATAATAAACTTAGGCGATTTGAGAGAATGAAATACAAGTTGGATTATGATACAAAAATAATTGATGTTGAATCAGTAAGATTCAAAAATATTCAGCTGAAAAATGACTTTTTACTTCATTATTTAGTTATTTTTAAGTTCTGTTTAATTTATTTATACAGTGGTACCTCAGGATACGAAATTAATCCGTTTCAAAACTGAGATCATATCATGAGAATGTTGTAAGGTGAATCATTTTTCTCCATACAATTACATGTAAAACCAAATAATTTGTTCCAACACAAAAAACACATTCAAATTAAAGCTAAATAGTACATTGAAAAAAAAAACTATAGTAAGGAAAACACTGAAAAATGTGTTTTGTAGTTGTAAATGTATAAATAACCATAATAGAATAATAATTGATAAAGAAAAATGTAGTTTTATTTGCACTTTACCTTTGAGGATAGACGACAGTGGAGGTGTAAACTGGTGGTGGAGGAGAGGGAGAAGGGAAATAATACTAAAACTTAACTTACATAACATAATGTAACAATAACTTAAAAATAACTTAACACTAATTTTTTTATCTTTTCTGTTTTATATATATATATATATTTAAATTTTTTATTCACTGCTTTTTGCTTTCTTTCCTTCACTTCCACCAGCATTTTCACTGGATAGAGGTCGCTTGGTAAAATATCTATCCAAAGAGGCTTGGCTTTGCCTACTTTTTAAAATGCTTCTAAAATGACTTAGGCAAATGTCATTACTCCAAGCAGCAATACAGCCAATGTGAATCTTTTTGGGATGTTTCTTTTCAATAAAATTGGTCACTTTCTGATAATACCTCAAGATTTCCTTTATCGAGTGAGATCCTATCACGATGAAGCAAGCACGTGGACTGAGGCCAATGAACAGAAGTGAAAAAAAAATTGGCACTGCAAACTAATGTAACATCATATGGTGAGTTTTTGTTTGTATCGTGGAGCAAAAATATGTTTTGATTTCATGTCGTATCCTGAAAATTTCGTATGCTGGGGTCGTTTGTATCCTGAGGTACCACTGTATTGACTATATTACAGTTTTGAACTAAGGTTTTGTTTCTGATTATTTTATAGGTTGATACGTTTACTTTTGACAATGGCATATCTTCTGATCTTTTATTTGGTGATACGCCATTACCTTCATTATCACTAGAAATCACGCATACAGTTTTTTCATCATTCAACAGGCAAGAAAATTATTTTATTTAAGTAATATATATATATATAATATTACTATTGTATATAATATTTTGATTTAATGTAATTAACCTGTTCAGAGACTTAAAGACACTTTTTAGAAAAGTTTTTAAGAACATAGTAATTTTTTTATGATTTACTGAAGTTTAAAAATTATGTAAAATTAACTAAAACTCTTAAAATTAAATAAACTAAATAATAATAGCATGTTTCTTTTTTTATATCAATAATAAATTAAAATGTTATGTTGATTCTACACTTTAAATAAAAAATATTAAATATTTTTATATTTGAAAAAATAATAAATTATAATTCAATAAGTATGTGTGTATATGTGTATATATATATATATAAAACCAAACAATTGCCTTGCCTTAAATAATTGGGCTATAAATTTGCTATTAGATACCATCTCTTATCTATATTACTATATTACATGGCCTAAGGATATATATAAGTACATTGCCAGGTGAAATGTTAGCTGGCTGAGTGCCATTGTGGAGATGTACTTAGGCCATGGGCATAGGAGTTGTCTCCAGTTGGTGCCGTGATTAATCATTCAAGGTTACATCTAAATTTAAATACATCCGGAATCTAAGGCTTGTTTGGGGTCTGGGTGGCACAACTGGCATGTGCACTGCATAGTAAGTGGAGGTTATAGGTTCAATCCCCCGCCCCAGGCCAGTTCTTTCCTTCCAGATGATTCTAAATTATTTAATAAATTAATAATTATTATTTTAGTAATTTAGGTAAGAGATGACGCCTAATGTCTACCTCTAGTAGCAAATTACTTAGTATTAAACATTAAAATAATGGATTTATAGCCTGATTATTTAAGGTGATTGTTTTGTTATGTATCTATAATAATTCAAGTCATAAATTTTCTTTACCATAATTTAATTTCTATTTATTAATCTACTTCCATAATTGATAGCTGATTTTATATATGGCTGATACAAAATACAGGAAATCCTTGTTAGTTCGAAATTTAAGGGCTGAAATAATTGTGACTTTGAATTATCAAGTTTTGAATTATTTGAGAGTTACATATATCTGTACAATATACCAAAAATTCCATGTAACTAATGTAGTTTATTAAGCAAACAGAATAGGATTACATATACAGAACACTATTTTCGTTAATTAAAAATTAATAATAATAATTTAGATGTGAAGAAAAATAGTGCATGTCCAGTGAGAACCTCACAGATTGCCAGATAGGTTTTATAAAAAGTAAAGCAGAATTTCTCAAATTTTAGCCCAGATTATTTTTAAAATGGCCCAAAAAATAGTAAGTTGCCCAAATTAGCCTAGAGCCCTACAAATATTTCAATCTGCTACTTGTAATCCAATCTTGCAATCCTGAAACCCAGCCATATTTTATGAAGTAAAAGAAAAAAAGAGTAGTCTATGGGTAATGTGACATCTAAAAATGTACTGTTGTTATAAAACCAAAGCCATGTTGACCAGATTAGAGTTGTTCTTGGTCTATTGTTCTCTTATACTATGGAGGCACATGGATCTAAACAAATGAGTTAATATACACATATCACAGTTCGGACAGAATTTTCACTTTGAATGTCAAAGTAGCCGTATTTTGAACTAACTAAATTCCTTAGCATGTAAATCTTGATATCCCTGGCTGGGACAAAAGTATAGTTGTGAACTAACAGGATTTCAAACTATCCAAGATTAAATTAACAAGGATTCCCTGTATTGAATTCTTAATTGAACTTAGGATATATATTTTTCCTAGTTTTAATTTTTAAAAAGTTATAATCCATATAGATTTCTTTTTCACTTTGTAGCAAGTTGTTTTTTCTATTTTTCTGAATTTGAATTAAAAAATATATTTGAATGCTTTTTCACAAATATTAATGAAAATAACAAATATTACTTTTTAAAAATTTTATTATTTTATCTTAAATTATTACAATCACTTATCATTAACATTACACTTCAAATGAAAATACAATTGAAAACATACTAAATTGTCACATATTGTTTAGTTTTAAATATGATTTCTTTAAAACTTGCTGTCCCATAGCAAAATATTTAATAGGAAAATTATGAAATTACAAATAAATAGGAAAATAAAGAAGCAAACAAATTTATTATATAAAATTTATTATTATAAGACTTACAAAAATTTCTCAGTATACAAAATTTTGTGCATGCAAATTAAGTCTACAGCATTTAATTGCACTGCAATTTTTGAACTGTAGACCTATAGATTCCCATTGTCATCAGTTTGTCTTTCCTTAATCTTAACAGTTAGATAGGTGAGATATGGAAAGCTTAGGTGCTTTGGTGAAATTTATTTGTAATTCATTAAGGATAATTAAAGTTTGAATTACATTTATACATCATTTTGAAATTTATTTAATACAGGTATCCCTTGCTTAATGCAGGATTTGATTAATGCATGAAATTAATTGCAGCAATTCCTTTATATACAGAAGTTTTAATTCATACAGCTTTAACAGCTGTCTTTACTTAACATAGATACTGTATTTGATTGTGATTTTGATATATATGCAATAACATTGAGGGATTAATTAGCTGTGTTAATCTAGGGATACCTGTATATATTAACCCTATTGCATCTATTTTACTGATTAATTTCATTTACAATAATTAGAAATGAAAATATGTTCAACCTCACTCTTGCTGTAGTGACATTTCACTGTCATTCTAGTTATTGAACTTACCTCTGTCCAATACAAAAATATTTCTGAAAATAATTTCAAGTTGACATTCTTTCATTGATTTTCAATTATTTTTAATTATTCAAGAATTGTTTAGTTGACAATTTCACAATAAATAAACATGTTTGAATAATAAAAAATATTTGGAAATCAATGAAAAAATGTGAACTTGAAGTTATTTTCAGAAACATTTTTATACTGGACAGATGTAAGTTCAATAACTAGAATGGAGGAGGAATGTCACTACAATAAGAGCAAGGTAGAGCATATTTTCACTTCTAAGGGTATGTCCTATGTGGCAGCATCCAGCAACTGTGGGCAGAAAGGATCTTTGTATGCATCTCCAACTGATCTTTCGGGCTCGGGTTGCCCTGAAGCAGTTTGTTGAGTTCTGCAGTGATGAGAGCTGCGTTGCGTATGAAGCGGCAATAGAAATTGACTAGTCCCAGGAATCAGCGTAGATCACAGACAGTAGTTGGTCTAGAGAACTCTATGATTGCCTCGACTTTTTGCAGAAGTGGGCGGATTCCTTTTGGGTTGACCAGATACCTGAGGAATTGTACTTCTTGCTTTCCAAATACGCATTTTGATGCGTTGATTACAACACCATAGTCACGAAGTCTGGTAAATAACTTGCATAGGTGCTGCAGATGTTCAGTTTCATTTCAGGACGCTATAAATATGTCGTCGATGAAGACGTAGCAAAATTTGAGGTCACGAGTAACTTTGTCCATGAAGCACTGTTTGTGCGGCGTTGCACAAACCAAAAGACATGAGGTTGAATTCGTATAGTCCAAACAGTGTGGTGACGGCTGTCTTAGGGATATCTTCTTAGGCTATAGGGATGTGGTGGAAAGCACGGATGAGGTCGACGGTTGAGAAGTACCCACAACCGTGAAGAGTGGATGTGAAATCTTCTATGTGAGGAACAGGATAACAGTCGGGTACAGTTCGCGCATTGAGTAGACGGTAGTCACCGCAGGGTCGCCACTGGTTGTTCTTCTTTGGGACGAGGTGTAATGGCGATGACCAGCTGCTGGTGGACAGTTGGCAGATCCCTTGAGTGAGCATGAATTTGAACTCACACTTAGCCAGAATGTACTTGTCCGTTGCAAGTTGCTGGGGTTTGCAGTGCACTGGTTGTCCAGGCGTCATGATATGATGGACGGTGGAGTGCCGGACAGGTGCGATGGTTGGAGATGGACATGTTATCTCAGGAAACTCGCTCAGTAGTCGGTGATACGAAGAATTGCTGGCAATAGTTCGTATCGACGGTGTAGTGACACTGATAATACTTGGCTGACTTGTTTCATTGTTGAGTCGATGAGACGTTTGCTGCGAAGGTCTGAGAGAAGTCCATAATGAGATAAAAAATCAGCACTGATCAATGGTTGTGTGATGTTGGCTACAATGAATCGCCATGTAAAGTTTTGTCGAAGAGTGAAGTCTGGCGTGATTGTTGCATAGCCGTATGTCTTGATTGCTGTGCTGTTCGCTGCGAAGAGTTGATAGTCTTCTACGCGGCACTTTGGAAGGCGTGAAGCTGGATAAACGAAGACATCGGCGCCAGTGTCGATTAAGAATGCGACTTTGGACGCATGATCAGTGATGAATAAGCGACGGCTTAAATTTTTGGAATCGGTCGCTGTCTCTACTGACTCCCGTTCTCGTTTCCCATCGAACAAGGTGGTCGGCAGCGTTGGGCATTCGCACCAAATTTTGCATGGTACCAGCGGATATTGTTCTGGAAGGTGTTAGGTGGGGAGCGTCGCCAAAGTCTTCCACAGCTCGAGGAACGGTGGTGAGGTGGAGAATGGCCCTATTGTTGTGACATCTCGGAAATTTGTTTTGAGAGTTCAGAGATTTGCACTTCGAGTGCGGCGATTCTGGGATCGACCGTGGCAGAGGCCGTAGATTTGGCAGAGATATTCGATGTCGAGGGGTACAATTCACTAAGGCAGTCGGTGATCTTAGTGAGAGATTTGAGCATGCCCTCGGATACGGTTAGTATCTTCTGTATATCTTTGGGAAGACGGGACAACCAAATACTTCTGAGTAGGTCATCCATGAACGTATGTCCTGCGAGAGTTCTTAAGCGTTGAAGGAATTGCGATGGCATGTGGTCGCCAAGCTCTTCGGTACGTAGAAGCTTTTTGAGACGTTGGGCTTAGGACTGGGACATGCAGTCGATCAGTGTACTTGTCTGTACTCGGAGGAGCAGCTAGAATGTCCTGAACTTTGGTAGCTATGCGTTCCGATAAACTCGCGACTACATGGCTATATTTCGTTTTATTGTGGGATATATTGGCGAGGGTAAATTGGCTCTCCAACTGTGCAAACCATAGGGTTGAGTTCTCGGACCAAAATGGCGGCGGCTTGACTGCCACATGGTTGACAACAGGTTCGCTCATTTTGTCACGTACCTGGTAAAATATTACTATTCTCCAAGCGAAATTCGTGAATTTGGTAAGTTCTAATGTTCAGCTCACCAATGTAGGCCGCAGTCGTTGAGCACTACAATTCTTTTGTCTAGTCGAATAGTCGAGTAGTAGAGGTCTCGTCGTACACCACTGATCTCTCTCGTGGCAGGTCGAAAAAGTGCAGGAATCTGTCGAAGTGCTGATGTCATCCTGTCGAGGCCCTCTGGTGGCGACTGTAGGCATTAGTGCCTCAGATTATATTTCATCCGTAACCGTATGTCCTGCGAGAGTTCTTAAGCGTTGAAGGAATTGTGATGGCGTGTGGTCGTCGAGCTCTTCGGTACGTAGAAGCTTTTTGAGACGTTGGGCTTCGGACTGGGACAAGCGGTCGATCAGTGCCCGTTTAATTGCTTTGTACTTGTCTGTTTCTATTTCTGTACTTGTCTTGTCTATTTGTATTCTATTTTCTGTTCCTGATTTAAAAATTGAGATGATCATTTTTGTTATTACTGATTATATCTAACAAAATTAAACAGAATAATTTATTTAGTAAATTAAATATAACACTGTATACATATATAAACATCTCAAAGCCCAATGTTATTAATCAAATCCAAATGATAATATCTTGATTCAATATAACACTATTAAATAATACTGGCAATATTATTATTATTCCAGAATTTAATAATTCAGTATTTTCTCTTTCCAGAACTAGTCTAGATGATGGCTTGAGAACTCCAGAACTTGTAATTTTTTCAGCTGATGATTACAGTAACAATTGTGAAATATTAAATCAGCAACTTCTAACAGATGTAAATCCATCATTACAAGCAACAACACACAACATGATTGATTCACCAAACATTGATGGTTCATTATTAGAAAATCAATCAAATGTTTCTGAACTGGTAAAAAGTGATACTTTTCATCAAAAAGAAATGGATATAAGTTTTTATTCTAATTTAGATACTATCCCTGAAATACCTGGAATATCATCTATGAAAAGCATTGAAAATAATTTTGATACTACCAAATCATTAGAAAGTTTGTTTGAAATAGATAAGGAAATTTCAAATTTACCATGTATGAATGATATTAAGAAGGACGTTGATAATATGGAAATGGTACCAGTGTTACCAGAAGCATCTATAATTGATGATGATTACAGATTGCCAAATGACAAAACAGGTGATAATGTTTACTGCAGTCAAACTTGCACTAGTCAAAGTGATTTAAGTAAAGATGGTGAAATTAATGAATGTTTTCATTCTAAAAGAAGTTTTAAAGATGAGATTAATTATGATATAAATATGAATTCAACTAAAGATGAAAGTAATGAACTTTCAGTAATAAATATGAACTATCTTTTAACATCTGAAAATTCTTATCTTTCAAAAATTGATAAAGAAATTGAGGAAAATGGTGATTCAGAAAATAATACTTCTGTATTTCTAGAAGATAATGCAGAATCAATGGAAGCAATAGCAGCAGCAGAATTTGCAATTTATCAAATGATTGAAGCAATAAGTGATACTTCACAAACTGACACCACAAATGATAAAGAATTAACAACAAATAATTTTGATGCAACTGATTCTAAAAATCAGGAATTTAATTCAGAAGAATTAATGTGTGAGGAAGATAATGCAGAAAATTCAAACATACATGTTAGTGAAATTTCAGAAGTAAATGAGATTAATCATTTTTCAGGGGAGCATATTAAAATTGAATCTGTACCTCATGAAGATGATAAAAACAACCAAAATGTAATTAAATTTGCTGTCAATTAAATGTATACATTTATGGTTAATTATTAATTGTTAATAAATAATTTTTCATTTCAGGAAAAGTATGAAATGCAACCTATTGTTGAAGACAGAGAGCTCTCTGATCTAATCCCAAATGATACAGAACTTTTTAAAATTACAAATTTAGAATGTTTTGTAAGTTTGGAAAGACTAGATGAATCTTTTATCAAAAATTTGATTACAAGCAAAAGAAATAAAAGTAAGAATAATTTTTTAAAAGTATTAAATATTTATTTAATATTTTAGTATTAAATTTCCATAGAAATTTTGCTATTTTAATATCGAAAAATATTAATGTTCATAGTTAAGTTTAGAATAATTTGTTTAGAAATTTCATAAAATGTCTTATCAAATTTCTAATATATTTATATAAAATTTTATGTAAAATTAAAAGAATTACTTGTCATTAATGAAACAAGTTATGCAACATAAAAATATTTTTTCTTATAAGTAAGAATTTTTTATTTTATATAATTATGAAATTTTTTTCCTTTTAGGTTAAATATACTGAGAAAAGTTTAATATTAATATAAATTTATAGTATACTCTACATAGATAAGTAATATCAAAATTCTGTTCTGCAGGTTCTGTCTTATAAATGAATGAAAGTACAGTAGAGCGTCGATTATACAAAAGTCAATTATCCGAAAGAATTCCAGTCGGCAAATTTAAATTTTCGCCAGTGCTATGGCGCTGCAATCTTTGGCTATGTCTTGGGCTACTCAAATATTTTACGTTTTTGATACTAAATTAAATTCTGAAAATATAGTTTTTTATTGTTTTTATATTTTTCAATATATTTATTTTGTTTGTACAAAATAAAGAAATGATTTTTAATGATACAATAGTCATGATTATTATTTTAAAAAGTTTACGTTAGGCTTAACATCGACAAAAATTCAACACAAAGCGACACACAACGGAGAAAAATTTCAACATGGGATAGGTTAATATATTTTTTCTTACTTAATCGGTTATCCGAAATATCGATTTTCCGAACAACCCCAGTTCCCAATTGATTCGGATAATTGACGCTCTACTGTAGTTTCTGTTTTTCAAGGAGAAGCATGAAACACATTTTAATAATACTAAAATATATTTATGATGTGTTGTTTTTTTTTTCCTGTCACAACTAGGTGTATAGATAGACACTGGACACTTTTGACACCACTCTTTATTCAGGAATATCTTGTGGGCTGGTACGCATTTCAGGCTTGCGCCCCTCTTCAGTTGGCTTTACTTTTAAGATATCTTATAAGATGCTAACAAATGTACATCTTACTTAAAAATCACATTACAGTTAAAATTTCTTGGCATTACTCTCAACAGCACTTAGCTCATACGTGTGTGTGTGTGTTTTTTTTAAGTTCGTACTTTCATACATTATTACCATTTGTATTGTCTTAGAACATAAGTTTTATGTTTATATAGTTCTTTGTAAGCTGTGTAGAAATCTGTATCCTTGATATAGTTTAATAAACCTTTTCTTTGTGAATACAATGCTCTTGCTTCTCTGTTTCCTTGTTGCTAGGATGACATTGATTGTACCAAATGTTTAGTTTGCTTGATTGCTATCATTATTTCCTGTTTATTATGTTTCTGTAATTTTTTTAATTTTATCTCTCGAGAAGAGCATAGCACTGTAAAAGAAAATAAAAGAGCAAGAAGAGTGTAGCATTGAAAAAAAAATAAAATGATATATATAATGTGTGTGGGGAAAATATATACAGTAAGACTCCTCTTAATGCTGGAGATGCGTTCCTAGATAACAAGGGAACATGCAATCAAAAACAAACAGATTTTACTCTAATTTTAAGTTATTTTTATATTAATTTGCATAATAATATATGTTAAATAACACAAACATATGCACATAGAAATGTAAAGTTTATTTTTTGTGATGAAGGTCCTGGCTCTTCTGAAATTCTTGATTTTTGCGATAAAGTTGTGTAGTTTCATTTGTTGGTTTTTTCTTTCCTTAAGCAAATGTTGGTAGCAAGAGATCACATCCAAAATACTTCGTTTTGCTTTTGCACTGTTTGATGTTACCAAAATCTGGATCATTTGCTAAAATTCAATCAAAGATTTCAGTTATCATTACCAAACTTTTGCTAAGGAAAACTGTAGAGAAATTCTTTGGGTTCTTTGTTTTCAGAATCACTATTTTTCAGTTCTACATGAATTTCTTGTTCTGCCAGTTCCTGAAGGTTGTTGATAAGACTTTGACCAGAAACCTGCAGTAACTCCTCAATATCCTGCTCGTCTACTTCTCCTAGTCCTGCTGTATTGATTAGGTTGACAATTTGGTGAACCTAACGATACAGTGCTATGCTCTTCTCGTTGAAAATTCTTGGATACCTTCAGCCATACTGTCTTTCACAATCCTTTAATGCATTTATCAGTTAATTCTTGTTAAGCAAAGTCAATATTGCCTGTGGCATCCATGATGTTATATTTTTTCCAAAATTGCATCAAACAAACACAGATTTAAGGAAAGTACAGTGCTACGATGAATTGCCACTTTTTGCTGATTGGTTTGTGTTTGGGAATAATTATATTATATACAAATCAATGAAATGCCGTGATAATTTGAATCAATGTAAATTTTAAGCTTTTTTTGGGCTTTGAGCAGACCATGTTATATTGAATTAGTATCAGTGGGTTCTTACTGTATTATTATCCACCTATAATAATCTTTATCCAAGTTGTATAAACCTTGTAACAGGAGTTTGTTTCTAGAATGATGTCTTTGTTCTTTTTTGAATGAGGCACATAGCTCAGTCTATATTTTAATGCTTCGTGAACATAATTTGGAGGATTCACTCCATTCCAGCATATAAATTGTTGGTCTAGGTTAATATTTTCTTTCTTAACTTGTTCTATATTAACCACTTAAGTTTCTAATGTGCTATTTTCTGATCATTCATCTTAAATTTTCAGTGTAGATTGATCTCATATTAGCATTCACTAATAATCTAGTTCTATATTGTGAACTCATCTTCTAAGTTAATCAGCTTTCATAGCAGGCTAAATTTATTTTCTTTTGGTCTTTCTGGAGATTTTTCTTAAACAGTTTTGATATAATCTAATTACTAGAGACCAGCAGTGACTTGATGTGTAGAGAAGATCAAGGGTCTACTTTGTTTATGCTGCATTGTGACAATAATTCCAATTTTTCCATTTTTTTGGGTTAATTTCAAGCCATTTTCTCGTAGAATGTGACTGATGTTGCCATTTTTATATTGCTAACCTAATGGTCTCAATACTAAATAAGTACAAATTAAAAAGTTAAATATTTTTTCATTAATATCAGAATTTTCCTAAATTTTAGTTTAAGGCATTATCTTTAAGTATAAATTATATTCTTTATCCTATATAATTACAATAATTGTTGGAAAAACATTATTTTGTAAACAACACATAGTAAAGAACAGAAATTAAACAACTTTTCAAATTAGTTTGAAAATTAATTTCAAAAGTAAAATTAATGATGAAAATCAACGTCTAATTGGAGATAAGAAAAACTCACTGAAGTCTATTCCTTAGCAATGAAAAAATTACATTGAAAACAAATACTTTAAGCTTGAATAACAAACCATCTTCAGGCTACAAAATAAAAAGAATTTAAGCCAAATTCAAAATTAATTACAATGATTTGAATAAAACTTTAAAAAATTGTGTGGCAAAATTAAATTCTGAAAAATGATAGGCAGAAAATTATTACAGCTTCTCTTATAGGGCATTCAATTTCCTATCTCTTAATTAAAAGATTACATTTCAAGAACATTTATAGAAATGTATACATTACTTTTTATTTTCAGTTATTATTTTTTGTGTACTTAATTTTTATTGCAATTTTATTTGCATTACATACGATGCCACTGTTAATAAATCAAATTTTTGTGATGCATTTATTCTTTTATTTTATTCTATTTTATAATTTATTTAACTTGTAACCTGAACACAACTCATTAAATGATTGAAAACATTTGTTCAAAATTAATTATTCACTGTTAAGGTGTTCATTTCTGTTTTAAAAATTTGGTCTTTAATTAATTTTTATATTTTGAGTTTCAATTTAATGTGCTACCAATTTATCTATGTATTTGTCTTATTAAAAATATTTATGGCAAGATTGGGAATTTTTTATTTTGATCTTTAAAACATTATAATATATAGTTATCATATAATGTTTTATGAACATGGTTGGCCAGTTGCAGAGACAACACTTAGATGCTGATGACAGTTTAGAGATAATCTAGACCAGTGATTCCCAAACTTTTTCGAGCCAGCATCCCTTTTGTTCCATAAAGTTACACCCAATGCTCCTAACTCATTTTTCCTTGTGAGAGAAAGGCTTGGAAATAGTGTTAGAAAAACTTTTCTATGAACTTACACTTTGTGTCCTTATTGTACATTGTTCTCAATATCTGGAAACCATTAAATGCAGTGTTTCTTCTTATCCATTTTACACAGAAGAAAGGGAAAGGTTGTCAATGATCTCAACCTTCACTATTGTCACTGTTCAGTATTCTGCAGCCCACTTGCTTTTTTTTGCCCCTAGATTTACTCACTGACCAGGGGGCGTAGCACCCACTTTGGGAACCACTGGTCTAGACCATGGTTCAGAAAAATTTTATTGCAGAAACAACTCTTCTTATTTGCAGTTTAGATAGCAATTAGAAACCTACTTTTGCTTGCAAATTGACTTACTTTCTAGACTTACTTGGTAGCATATTTAGACAGCATTTTGAGTGGAAGTTGCTGTATTGATTTGTTCATTGCAAAGTTTAAATAAAAATGGGTATTGTTTATTTTATAAATGTAAATGGGCTGAAGCAACAAAATTATTCATTTCAACAATTATGAAGAGAAAGAGTAATACAAAATCAGAATAATCCTTTAGAAATTATTCTGAAGATGAATTTCAAATTTGGTTTAAATTTTCCAAATCTGGATTTGTTTATTTTAAATCATATTGACAACAAAATTAAGCTTCAAAAATAGAAAATAATTGTTCTTAACTGCCGAACGACAGTTATTGACAGTTTTCTGACGTCACAAATGAATAACCTGTTTAGACGAATGACTCCTAAAAGAGGGGAGTAACAGCAATAAAAGATAAACTAACTTCAGACAGCATTCAGAAATGAATTATCATTGTCTTTGCAATGTATTTTAATTTGTGATGCAGCAAGCCAACATCTAGATGCTGCTTAGCTGTTAATCATCATTTAACATAAACTCTATCTCTGTATTTGGCTGATTATGTTATGCATGATTTGAATTTATGATATTTAAAATAAATTATATTTAATTTGTGATTTTCTTCATTAATCCTTTTAATAAATATTTTATTATATATATAGATTCACTGAAAAATCAGAAATCGGAGAATTCTACATTAAATGTTGTTAAAATGAGTATTAAAAAACCAAAATGCAAAGTTTGTAAGCGGAATTATTCTTCTTTGGCATCATTGGGTATGTAATATTACAATTATTCAATTTTCAGTAGTAAATATATTTGAGTTACATAATATGTCAATATTAAAAATAAACAAGCATTTATAAATGCTATTATTAAAAGTTTTGTAATAATTTTTTTAATGATATGATAATCCAGGACATGCACAATTTTGTACAGTATTCTCCAGGTACAAAGTAGAAACTGGAAAATTTTAGACAGAATTTACATTTTTGGATGTTTTTCCCATAAATTGTAGATCAAATGAATGAATTTGTAATTAAAATGAAAGTTGGTTTTAAATCATTACAAAAAATAATATGCTTGAAGTTAATAGGTGATTAATTACTAATTATAACAATATATCTATAATTTAGCTAATTACTATTATTATAAATTTAGAATGACTCAAAATGTTTCTACTAAATTTAATGCTTTATTAGAATTGAAGAACAAAATATACAAATTTTAGTTGTTGTAAAGTTTGTAATACATAAAATATTTGCAGCTATTACAATATGAATAATTCTATATTTATAGGTATAGTATTTTGTTCAGCAAATACAATATTCAAGGTTAAAATGTACAATTTATTCAACTCTTAATCCTACATATGCATTTTGGGTTGACATAAACTCTCAACCCCTCTTCAGTGCTATAAAATTTGTTCGTATTAATAAAGAAACAACTAATATTAATTAAGACAGCTGGTCACTTATAAACATTTAATTACTTTAAAAAGTTCACATAAATTAAAAAGAAAATTAAATCATCAATTGCCTTACAAATTTCTAAAATCACTATATTATTATGCAGTTATGATTCTTAACTGCATAGTAATATATTAACTGCATAATAATATAGTGATTTTAGAAATTTGTAAGGCAATTGATGATTTAATTTTCTTTTTAATTTATGTGAACTTTTTAAAGTAATTAAATGTCAAAGAATGTGGATGCCTGAGGCTTTCCCATCTACTAGAAGTTTTCTACCAGTGTTTATTCACTTTTCATAGGTCCTAATGACAGGAGTTTGCAAAAACCTTGATAAGCTTTGCAGTTTCTAAGAGACTCATTTCAAGCCGTCAGGTCATCACAATCTGGCTTTTATCAAAATCACTTAAATCAGCAGCGTTCCCTATAACACACACAGGTTATCAACAGAATGATCCCTTGTAGAAGCCAGCTATTATATACCACATGAAACTTGTCACATGCCATCTGTGTAAGTCAGATGTGCCATAATATAGGGTCATAATGTTTTGACTAGAGTGTGTGTATATATAAACACGTTTTTTTATTTTTGTCATCTTTTACCATAAAAGTATATATAAAATAATAATAAAAATAATAAACTTTTCAAAAAATTATCTGGGTAGATAGTCAATTTGCCCAAAAGTAATTCAAGCATAACTATAGTAACTTTTCTACACCTGGTGCATTGTTGCTCTTTAACTTTTTATGCAAGTAATTGTTTCCTGCAACATGGATACTTGTATGCCAGGCTAAGTTTACAAGTGTGCACTTTGCTTGGCAATACTGGGTTAGAAGATTTTCACTGTTTAGTAATAATTCAAAATAATCTTTCCAGCATTTGGCTATTCATCTATCATCAATTAATAGATTCCTATAATCAGCAACTATAAAACATGGTTGTTGGTATCCTGTTTTGATCTGCCTTACTCTAATAGAAACTTTCTTGCATTTTTACTTCATTGGTTGATCTGTAGTGTATATTTGTAAAGAAGAGTTACTTGCAAATACATGCATCTTTATAGGCTTATTTCATCTCGTTTGTTTTATTGTTTAACCAGTCATATTTTGTTGGTTTTTTAATCTGTTGCATTCCTATAGTTATTTTTGAACTGCTTATCTGATGTTTGTAACCACTCCAAAGCACATCACAGCAGTATTTATGATGTATGTTTTTATCTTTTTTCAAAGTGAATTATACACTATTTTGAATTTATTTCTTTTCTTTCTTATTTTTGTAAGGACATTTCCTAACTATTATACTTATTTTGTTTTTCTGCTTGCTTTAAATATTCTATATTAGTGTTCCCAACCTAGGATACTCATACCCCAGTATGCAAAAGAAAATATGTAATGGTTTTCAAATTTAATTTTAAATTAGCAATTTTTTCCAATTTATGCCTATGCAATTCAATTTATGGACTTGATACATTTGTACATTTGTGAAAGTCTACAATCAGTTATTTTAATTTAATTCTTTTGTATTGATTAATATATTGCATATGTTATTAAAATAAGTGCTGTAGTACTTCAAATTGCAAATTAATAATTAAAAATCAGAAATTGTTTAAAACTTTTATTAGAAACAAAGATTTAAACACTGCTGAAGGTATTCAATTAATTATTAAAAATTAATTAAAAATTAGTTGGCTACCTTTCTAATCTAGTAACATTAGACATACCAGGATTCTATTTGTAAGAGAATTTAGCACCATTTACCATATAACAGGAAATATCCATCTCACTATGGTTTTTTCCAGTATTTTCTCATTTTTATTTACCAAATGTCTTTATCTTCCATCACAAGAATGCAATATATATGATCAAATCATAAAATATATGAAATTCTGACTGAAAAACCTAGAGTATCATAAAGTGCTCAGCAAATCAATAAACAGAAACAAAATACCTTTTTGTTGCCGAGAAATACATATAATTGAAAAAACAAACGTTTTCAGCCCAATTAATAGGATGTCTTCAGGTCAAAAATGAAATTGGAATGAATATGTTCCATGAATAGAATACAAAAATTTAAATCAAAGATTTTTTACAAGGGAATAACAACAACAGAAGAACATATAAAAATATATAAATAGATAAAATTAAGATAAAACAAAACAAAAATAAAATAACATAAATCTTCAAGTATAATTAACTCTGGTCTGAGTTCTTAGTAAATTTCTTAACCATGAACTTCCACGCTGACGGCAGGCGGGTCCAATTTCATTTTTGACCTGAAGACAGCCTGTTAATTGGGCTGAAAACGTTTGTTTTTTCAATTGTATGTACTTCTCGGCAACAAAAAGGTGTTTTGTTTCTGAAAAACCTATAATTTAAAATAGGCAGGGAAATCAGAGCATCTTATAATTATCATTAAACTATTTACCACTTAAACATTAATGTGTGGTATATTTTAACACAGTCAAGTATATGATTATCATAATACAAAAAATGTATACTTGCTTACTGGAGAATAAATTCAATAAAAATAAAAACCATTCAAGTATCCTGCAATACTTGAATGGATACTTGAATTGCTGGATACTTGAATGGTTTTTATTTTTATTAATATAAAAAATTTGTATCAGATTAATCTAGAAGCTGCTGAGAAACTTCAATACCAATTAATAAAATTTATTATCTGATTGATTTAAATTTTATCATATCGAATTAAGAAAGAAACAAGAAAAGATCTACTTAGAATAATTTACTTGTATCTTTATAAATTTTAACAAATTATACATAAAGTAGTTTTTTAATGTTCAGTCAAAATTTTCCCTGTGGGAAAAATCTAATTTATTGAGTTTTAAGAATAAGCATAGAAACCTATCATTTCATTTCTAAATGAATCATCACAAGTATTTCTGCTTATTTCAAAAAGGAATAAAATAAAAAAAAATGTAAGTTATTGATTTTAATTATAGATATTCCACTATTCCATTCAGAAATGCCACAAAATATCATCATAACTCTTTCATAACATAGTTTATAAAATTTTTATAAAAACTAGGTTGTTTTTTTCCCAGCTGTTATATATACATAACAAGAGAAAGTATTGAAATTGTGTTAATATTTCAATACTTTCTCTTGCAAATCCTCCAAGATTTTTGCAAATCTTTGTTTGAGACTTCCTGAACCAAAAATATGGAAAAAATTCCATGGATATGTATGTGTTTGTTACTGTATAGTTTATTTAATATCTCAGGATGGAGCAATGATTAAGAAACGAAATTTGGTTTGGCATCTTGTGTATAAGGGACATTGATGCTATTAAATTTTGATGGTTAAAAGTCAAGAGGATGGGGAAATAGAGAAGGGGGTCACATGTCATATCTCAAGAGAAATTGAACTTAATGAAGACTTTACTCATTAACATTTACAATTTTATAAAACTAATCTCTATGCTCAAAATTCTGTGTTATGCCATTTTATAATAATTAATATAAAAAGGTTTTTATGATAAAATCTCATAACAGATGGTGCCACATACACAATTTATTTATTAATAGTATGATTAATAATAGAAGATTTTATTTAAAAAATAACTTTAACAGCTGGGATAGTTACATAACACATTGCTGGATTTTTTTTTTATTAATAGTTAAAAGAATGAATGAATTTCTAATGATAAATCAATTCAAAAAAATGTGTATACCAGGATTTAATTAAAAAGTACCAGAAAATAGAAACATCAGAAACCTGTCTGGGTATTCTGGTACTTAGATCATAGTCTTAGTTTACCATAAAGTGAATAAATTCATGTTATGCTGTTTAGGGATATGTGAAATTTTCCATTTTTCTTAAGAGTAGTAAGTAGCCTGGTAACATTGGGACCCACTGTTCTGTATTGACCCTGAAGATATTTTTCTCCATAAATATGTCTGGCATTGGCATTCTTTTGATAGACTACTGCTGTCATAGCTTTGGTTCACAGGATCTCATTAGTCATTCCACTGTGACAAAGTAGAAACACTTTCAGAGACAATATATGATCATGCAGTTTGTGCATATCCAGAAACTTTCAAATTTGTCTATGTATTTGCACATGGCTTCATTTTCAATCTTCCTCAATCATTTCCTATTGTTCCTATTGTTTGATATCAAACTTTGGAGAACATCTCATAAGTTAATGTAAAATTTTTCACACACTACATGACTTTGGCTCCTTTAGTCTTCAAATTAATTTGTTCTCTATTCTCAAGATACCTTGGAGAAATGTTTTTCAAAACTTTAGATCTGAAATCTATTCAGGCTAATCATTTTCCCTTTTCAGTATTTTCCACGATGCAAAAATTGTTAAAATTGAGGGAAACACTTTGAATAAGATTTATGTACCCTCTCATTTCATGAGATAAAGCATTAAGTTTTATATGTAGATTTTGGACCACCCTTTAATTTTGTAATAAATAAAATAAAATTGTATAATAATTATAATCTTTTATTTAGTACATATTTATATAATTAAAATTATTTTAGTAATTAGTTTACTGATTTTATTCAGAACTTATGATATAAACAATAATAGAAGTAATTATTTATACTTAATTTATTGTTAATTATAATCTCTAGAATCACTTCATATAAAAATTATCTTTTATAACTATTTTTTTTCTATACTATTACTTTTTTTAAAACTTTATCATCATACAACTATTAGAGAATTTAGTGTAAAATCTTTGTAAAAGTTAAAATTTTTTAAAACAGGATAAATCTGGAAATTGAATTTTAGACACTTAATTTTTAAATGATTTTTCATACAATTCAGTTTATAATTTTGATCCTGTTCCTCCAGACCTTTTCAAAAACTGGATTAAATATTCTGACTTCTTTCTGTACTGATACAAAATAAGAATAAATTACAAATAGGAATTAACAATTTTTTATTGGGCTGCAATTTGAAAAAATTGTAGACCTCCATAAATTCCCACTGATGTTCATTTGTTTGTCTTTCCTGAGTCTCAAGAACAGAGTTTGAGAGATGAAAGATGAGACCAGATATGGAAACTTTAACGGCAGAAGGGCTCAATTAACTATATGTAAACTTCCAGTGCAAACCGGAAGTCATGTTATTTCAATTCAAAAATTTTCCCCCCCCGAATTGATTTAAATTTTATCATATCGAATTAAGAAAGAAACAAGAAAAGATCTACTTAGAATAATTTACTTGTATCTTTATAAATTTTAACAAATTATACATAAAGTAGTTTTTTAATGTTCAGTCAAAATTTNAAAATTTTTCCCCCCCGAATGGTGTTGATGACCTGTACAACTGTATTGTTAAAGGAAAAGTATGATGTACAGGGGCAAGTCACTAATAATTTGAGTCAGAGCATATATTTTAAATTAAATAAATTAAAAATATGATTAAAATTCATTATTTTTATTTTACTGTGAAAGTTCAATTGTTCATCAATTATTATAATATATTACTTTTAAACTTATTTATTTTTAAATATATTGAAATCAAATATGTCTACCAACCTCCAAATAACACCATAATTTATCAACTTTTCAGGTGATTCAGTTGATTACTTGGGGATTGCTAGTGCCCCAAGTTGAGAAGTCCAGATTTAGATGATAATTAATTTTTTAAATAAAGATTTATCCTGTACATTACACAGATTACTAAATACATATACAGTTTTAATGACAATTTTGTATTTTGCATTATTTTTATGGTTAAGTTCATAAAAATTTTGCTCTTGCCATTAAAACTGTTTATTTAGTTGATTTTATTTATTTATTTATTTAAATTCTGGTTAATTTTTATCTTTCTAGAAATTCATAAATGCAAAAAGCGAAAATCACCCGAAATGCACAAATTGAATAGTAAAATTTCAAGTCCAACTACAGCTTTAATTAACCATTTTGAATGCAATATGTGCAATAAATCATTTGATGAAAAAGAATCTCTGTGGGATCACATGAACATTCATTATAATTTTAGTTCTGAAAATGAAAGTTCGTCAAACACAACTGATGAAATTTTAAGGAATTCAGAACTTGATCCCGATAGCAATACACTGTGTTGTCAAAAATGCAAACAGACATTTCATAACTATTCTATTTTAATTCAACATTTATGTTATATGCATAGCAATCATTTCAGACAGTGCGAGTTCTGTAAATACAGATTTAAAGGTGGAGGCAATATAATGAATCACATGTCACATCATATAAATCATAAAATTTATAACTGCGATTCTTTTCGCTCTGATTTTCACGAACAACCAGAAACGCATATTTTAAAATGTCATACGTCAGTGAACAAAGAACATGATTCAGAAGATAATACTGTGGAACTGAAACCATGTAGTGTTCAACTCGAGATTTTGGACTTGAAGATGTCTTGAAAACGGGTGAAGGGAATTTGGAAATTCCATGCCAGTCTGTGCCATTTTCTATGTACCTAGTTTTTATATAGTCATATCCGAACGAGTTTAGCTCCGAAGATCGGTTATCTACTTGCAAATTCCTACAAAATGACAATTTTATTGCCTATTTCTTAGAAGACATCTGGGTCCAAGCCATTGTGCCATGTTGCTTTAAAATTTATATCAAATGTCTGTAAGCAAAGATAATACTGTTGAAATGGTTTATATTTTAACACAAAATACACTGTTGTCTGTTGTGGAAAATTTTCACGACCGTTTTGCAATCAAATCAGATCTCGTTTGTTTTGAAAATGTTCAACAACGATCATCAGTTCAGTCATTCATTCAAATAAATATCAAAAAATTTGTTAATATTTCTAAAAGTAAACATTTTAGTTGAGTTTTTAAAATGATTTTCTCAAAGCAATAACTTTTTTATTTCCTCAAAGAAATTTTTTTTTCTTATTTTACTTGTACAGAACAAATATTTTGATCATAATTCTCAAAAAGATTCAAAATATTTATTATACGTTGCCAATGAAAAGCCCTTTTTTGCTAAAGCCATTTATATTTCTATAATTTGTATAAAAAAAAAAAAACGAGAATCTATTAAAGTATTTTATTGTAAAAAAACAAAACAAAAACTGATAGTCACTATATATTTCATTTGTGATGTGAGTATTGTGTAATTGCATTTGGAAAAAATAGTAATTTTTCTCCATGTGCTTTCAACGTACAGCTATATATGTTCATCACTTCATTATCGTCAAATTCTGTTTTTAACAGCAACAAGATCCAAATGTTCCTCGCCGGAAACAATCAAGACAAATTATAATTATTTCTTAAATATTTTGTATTCAAGATATATAATTTTTTTTCATTTTAATTTTGAAAATTAGGTGATAAAATGTATTTTTTATTTAATAATTAGATTTTTTTTCCTTTTAAATTTGCAAATTAAATAAAAAGTTAACTTCTTCCATCTTGTGTAAATGTTTGAAATTACATTAAAATTTGTGTATTTTAATATGTTTGAAAATAAATGTTATAAATTTTGAAAATTTTATATGAAATGTCTACTGAAATTATTTTATAATATAATGTTGATATCAAAAACTTTTTACATAATTTATTATTAGATGTATGTAGCTTTGCCTTAACTTTTTAAACTAATTTTGTTAGTTTATGAAGATTTGTTTTCTAACAGAATTATTTGAAATTGAAATGGTGAATTATTAATTTTTATATATATAATGAACATTTAGTGTATTATTAAGTATTCTAGTCATATTTTAAAATTTGTAAAATTATATTAAGATTTTGCAAAACAAGAACCTACTATTTAAAATATACTTTGTGAAAAAGATGGAATGATTGAGAAATTTTGTTTACAGTATACCTCTGTATACATTTGATTAACTTCAAAAGATCAAAAATAAATATCTAATAGAGAAAATAAGCATTCATATATTACATGATATAAATTTTTTATGTTTGAATCCCTTCTTTTCTTTTGTAAGAGTGTAATGTTGCCGATCTTTTCTTTTGGATGTCCAAATTAATTAATGTGAGATGGCAGCATTGCTTATTACTTGTTTTCAAATTATAATAATAATTAATTTATAAAACTACACAATTATACCCCAAAAAAATTAGCTGCTATTTGAGTTATAACTTCAATTTTTTTTTTTTTTTTTTTAAATAATACCTTTTCTTATAATTAAAGATACATATATATATATATTCCCTACCAATTATTGAGACAATAAAGACAGGCTGTAGTTCTTAGCAGATGGGTCCTGACTAGAATCTAAGAAATTTTTTATAGTTTGATTATTAGGCCACTCACTCACCATTAGAGAATTCGATCCCGGTCCTTATTTCTAATCCCGGGATTTCGGGATTATACTTATTCGATCCCGGGATTATTTCGGTATTGAGGGTTAATAAAAAATAAGAAAATCTTACAGAAATTAAAAATCAAAATTTAGACAAAAATCAACGTATTTTACGGTATACACCTAGTTAATTTAATCACTCTAATTAATCAGACTTACAGTCAGACTAACCAGACTTAAAATCACTGTCTTCATGTTAAATTTATTCTTTTTTAAGCATCACTGAGATCTCTTTAAACTCACATAAATTGAAAAAACTTTTATGTAACAAACTATGCAAATAAACGTTGAAAATTCACAAAAATCTCTCTTAACATCGACTAAATAGACTACTTTCATATAACAACCTAGTAAGTAGGTAGTAAAGTAAGTTTCTTAGGAAAAAGTATTTAAAAATAATATTAATCAGTCACATTTTTCTTAAATATAAAGAAAACTAATTTAATAGGAACATTCTAATTTGAATTGCGAAAATATGATCTGAGAAATAACAACGCATCTAGTGTCTCATCACCAAGTCTGCTTCTCAATTTGTTGCACATATATGCAGCTGCAGAGAAAACGCGTTTAGGTTGATGGAAGTTGGAGGAATCGTTAGTAAATACTTATAAGCTTCGAGGACACGGGGAGGATGGAAGAAAACAGTCCGGTCGACACGGATCGGGATTGTAGGAGTAAAGGCTATAATCCCGATTGTTTCGATCATTGTAAGCATGTTTTTCAAAAAATAAACGCGTTAATTTTGTAAATTCGGTCTCTGTGTGAGTCTCTCAGCGTTCAGCAAACCACTACCCCGAAACGTAAAAAGACTTTCTCGCATCATCCTGACAGATCGCGGACAAGGCGAGGGTCATAACCTTTTCACCTAAGGTCGACCCCCCCAAAGCGAGTAGCGTCAGGTCTATATTAACCACACTGGCAAAACAAGATGGCTGACACATTGACAGGTAAAACGCACTGAGTAGTGCTCTCGACTGCGCCAGAAAATCGATTGGCGCCCGCGAAAATTCAAAAATACAAAAATGAAGTATATTACCAAGTAACCCAGTGAGAACTGCTTGCCTATCATTTTAGTTGAAAATACAAGAAGTTTTATTCCAAGCAAGCATCGCAAGCCCGCTAGGTTAATTTCTGCTGCTTGCTTGGAATAAAATTTCTTGTATTTTATATTAAAATGATAGGCAAGCAATTCTGTTAAAAGCACTGGCACTGAACGTTTCGCTTCATGCAGTCTATTTTGCAATTTTTTTAAAATGATGTCAATCCCGAAAATCTTGGGATTAGGAAAACTTAATCCCGAAAATTTTGGGACTGAAAAGTGGTCGGGATCCCGATTTTCGAGATCCCGGGATCAAATCCTCTACTCACCATCCTGTTGTCCTAACTGAATTCGTGAAGAGTTTAGAAAAAGATGTTTTGGTGCCCAGAGAATGAAAAGAATTTAAAACATATACAGGACTGATCAAAATCCCTTGCATTCTTTTCATTCTAAAAATACCAAAAATTATTAATTAACATTTTAATTAATTTTGTGTAATGTCATGCTTGGGGAATAGAGTGGAACATTTTGCTGATCATGAAAATCATTTTAAGGTCACTTAAAACACTTTATAAATTTAAAGTTTAATTTTTAAAAGGGTTAATATCTTAAGCATCTGTTTACACATTGCTGATTAAGAATTCAGAAAATGGATGGTGCTCTTTAGCGGTATTGGAACTTTACATCTACTGGTTAAAAAGTTATTATTGCATATGTGCAATTTTCAAGTTTTATCCAATTTTCCATTCATGACTTCCTATGTAACTACATTAACATATCTCCTGTACCTTTTTTAAGTACAAGGGACTTTTGACTCATCCAGTATATACACTGAAACTTGAATGTAGTGGATACCTGATTTAACAGACAAAACATTTGATCTCTGCATGGCAATTAGGAATAGAATATTACTGTTTTTTTTACCTTAGTGGACATGCCTTCTGTAGACAGTGACAAAAATTTTGTACTCACCCTATTCTCGAAACATGTAAGTGCACAGTTAAGTGGACGGACCCAAAAAAAAAACCCATCTGCATTATAAGTTATGAATGTATGCACACTAGGCAAGCAGGCACAGAGAACAGATACATACATAGAAGAAAGACATCGGCCATACATGAAGTGTTTAGCCAGCAGAAAAGAGGGTAAGAAGGAGGGGGAGAGGAGATAGACAATACAATATTTTTATTCGAGTGTGCGTGAATAAAAATACCAGTGCCACAGAGCACAGCTGGTTAGGATACAATATGTTACAATGTAGAAAAGATAATACACAAAATAGAGACAAAGGATAAGATTTACAATCAGTTAGTATAGAAGACATGTCAAAACATGACAATGACTATTATATACAATGATAAAGTATAAAGATTAACAACAATACAATACAATGATCAAAATAACATAATAAACAATGAAATATGTACAGGTAAAAGCAAGTTGTGCATGACAACAATTGGAGATATGATGCAGGTACTGATGGAATAACGCCCATAAAAGATGGTGGAAGCCAGGTAATGTTGAGCTATTGCCTCAGATGAGGAACCTTGCTGATCTGATAGTATTTATTAATGAGATCCTGAAATAGTTCATAGTTATGCCTCTTAAGGAGGTGCCTATGTCTGAGTTTCCAGACATCTCCACTTGCTTCGACAGACATTTTGAGGTAGTGCCTCTCTTTCTCGAGGCCCACACAGTGAAAAATAGTGTTCAGTGCTGTGCCTTATTTGTAATGTTCCTGACAAGTGGATATGATGAAGGTTGAAGCGGTTAAGATATGTGTTAAAACTACCGTGGCCAGTCAAAATTTGAATAAGGAAATGGTTGATGTGTATCCAGTTGCTGTGAAGGTAGTCTTCAATATTAGGAATAAATTTGAAACTATGATTGTTGTTTATCCCGATGGTTTGCCATTTGCCTGTAAGATCCTGCTTGAGTTTATTCTTGATGTACCTTATAGGGAGTTTAGTATACTCTGAGATGTAGATCCATGTTTTGGGCTGTATTAAATCTGTATGAGTTTATAGCTGCCTGTGTTTGTATTGTGTATGAGTGTATTATTCATAGCTGACCCTACTGGCAGCTTATTTTCATGCATTTGGTTATGGGTCACTGTTGAGAGAATGAGTTATGCATGGTCTTATGTTTGCTCCCTTCTGGTAGAGTTTTATTGGCCTTTGCACAATTCACACAGCACAGTTCCTGACTATAGATGTGGCAAACTTTGTAGCTGTGGTTGCCCATGCAGTGACTACAATGTTGTTTTTCTGTACATTTATTAGCTAGATGGCCATAACTACAGCATTTGTAGCAGCATGTGAGAGGAATGTAGTCATCTACAGCCCATTGCACACTAACATACTGCTGTTGAATTAACATGTTCCTGATACTAGGAGTTACCTGAAGGACAATGTGTAATCTAGAAGTGACCAGTGGCATGCCGTCCATGGAAGCTGTGGAAGCGCCGTTTCCCTTGTACTTTCTAAAATATACATATCATGCGATTATTTTCATATTTTAACGTACTTTGAATTAATTAAAATTAATATTTTATTATAACCACATTATGTATCTTATTACAAATTTCTATACTATATGTGAAAAAAATGATAAGATTGCTATAGTATATTCGAATATTAATTCGTATGTGCATATTTCCAATGGAAGCGCTGTATTGTCAAATACAGGACAGCTTCCTTCTATGGCGAAAATATTTAAAATTGTGTAAAGCAGCCAGATTACAGACATTCGTGCATTCGTGGATGCTACACACCAAAGTATCATATAATGCTTCCAATGAGTCTATCCAGGGCTGGCACAGCTTCCCTATCATCAAATGCCACCACACGCCACTGGAAGTGACGAAGCTCTACAATGAAGTATCCTTGCATTATAATATTACAATGAATTTTTATATTTTTTACTGTCATTTCGGGTATAAAAGTTGATTACTTTTATAGGCCTGTTTTAAGGGGCAGCAATTTTTCTGAGTAACGAAATTTG